ACCTAGATCTATGGAAGCGAAAATTGAAGACGCGAAATCTGGAAAACAGAAAACAAGAACGTGTTTCAGAATCAAGAACAAAGGTGAACTACCAAAGAACACTGTGTGACAAAGTGTGTGAAAGGGTACAAGGCCTAGAACAATGGCGAAAGCAGAAAAGTTGTGAGCAGTGCGAGTATTCAAGACATAGGCAAAGAGCAAAATCGTGAAATAAATACACTCAGAGGCATGATTCATGAATCAAATATTTGAGTAAAACAACAATGGCGGCTAATGATGAAGCAAAAATTTCTTGGAACACAACAAGAACTAAAACCAGGAGGAATGGTGACTTACCAGAGAAAAGAAGCCGATGTTGAGATCGCCGAAGGCAGAAGAACGGCGGTAGTGGAACAGATTGACAAGAACCTCGTCGGAGGAAATGGACGGAGCAAGTTGCAGAGCTTTAGAAGCTTGAGCAATGGAGGATCTTGAAGGGAAAAGTTAGAAAGAGAAAAAAGCTTCAGAAGTGAAAACTGAAGAGACGAAGAGAGAGGATACTGATTTTGTCAAAACGTGAAGAGGCGACAAAAAAGAAATTGACGAGCCTAGAAAAATGGATTTGTCAGACGGCACATGTAGGCGCGAGACGACTTGCAAGCGCGTACAGAGTACGATCCCGTAAAAGAAAGACGCGTGGCTGAAACGGTTGAGTTGTTGTGCATGACAGCTCATATGCATGAGAGAGCACTTGGAAGTCTTGATCTTTAAAAAGACATGTCGGCCTATATGATGATTTCGGCTAGAAGATTTTTAAGCCGACGTACTGGCAAGAAGTAGCGATATATAGGTTCCATCACCTCAGAATGCCAAGGTAATAGAACCTAGGAGGCAGTTGTGGGGATATATTTTCTGAGTACCAACATGTGGCCAAGGTGACACCGAGGTGCCACGTGTCCTGGTCGTGATGCCGAGGTAATCTCAGCTAGGCCGAGGTTATCTCCAAAGATATCGGAATCCGAGATAAGCGGATAATGGATAAGAGTCCTAGAATGAAGAGGGAACTCAGCTTGGATAAGGATAAAGCTCTTAGGGAGTTTATTTCTATCTATTAAAGAGTCCTAGATAAGTACTGAGTTAAAGTCCATTGAAGCTAGGCTTCTGTTGGGACAAGGATTGAGTTAACTATAAAAGAAAGGCACCCCCGATGGGTCTAAGATATGCAATTTATATTCTGAACAGTGAGTTTAGCACTATTGATTATATTGGAGAGATATACTGACTTGATCGTCGGAGTGCTCCCGGGTGGACGAACCACCGCCAGAATCTTCTCCTTCTGTTGCAAGTCAGCGAGGTGTCATCTATTCTGCCAGTGCTCTCCAGCTGAATACTGAGTTGACAGTGTGATCGGAAAATCACTCACACATTTACTAATAGCAAAAAGAGTCTTATTGTAATTAATTTTAATATTTATTATGCTATACTTATAATAAGAACAATATTATATGCATCAATTGGTAAACTAATTAGTATACTAACAGATGATGTGGTATAATTTTAGAGATTTTAAATATTTATAATTTGTATAATAGATGAGATCAGTAATAATATCATGACATATATTAATACACTAATTAATATATTAATTGATATATATAATATCATCATTATAATAAAGGCGACAAGGGTGATCCTAGGAGGTTAAAAACGCCATACATTAAAACAAAACTAAAATGTCTTTTTTTAACTGAGCTTTCACTTTGATGTTTTCGAAGTTATTTGGAATCAATCTCTCTTTCTCTCAACTTGTACAAATACGTGCATTTCCTTTTTATTGTTTCTTTTGGATCTTACTCTTATTTTACTTTTATGTCCTCTATATTTATTTCGGGACAATGATTAAGGTAGCATTGTAATAGAAATAAGAAATCACAAAAAGTACACTAGGTGAGTTATTCTTAATATTTCAATTATCCGAAAAAAATGAAACAATAGTTTTGTTCGTAAATTTTCTGTAACAATCATTGGTTGAGAGCACGACGTGAATAATGTCACACTAGTGCTTTAGAACGGATTCAGTGCACTGCTGTGCATGATGCACAGCAATAATTGTTGTGCGGCCTGTGAAACTCATTTCGGATCCTATTTTAATAATCTGAATCGTTCAAATTTTAAGAAATATCAAGAACAATATACTTGCAAAAAATAAAGTTAATTAGATATCATTAATTTGTTCATCAAATAACATCTTTATATATATAAATGAATATGTATGTATCAAACTAAATACAAATGTTATTTGATGAGGATGTTATTAATATCTGATCAACTTGATTTTTTACAAGTATATTATTCTCTATATTTTCTAAATTTTCAAATGTTCAGATCATCAAAATAGGACCCAAAATGAGTTTCACAGGCTGCACAACAGTCACTGTTATGCACTGGATCCCTTTAAAACTGTTGAATAATTACCACCTTTTATTTCGGAAAGTGTTGTGCAATTATAAATTCATACAAAATCATTTATCTAAATGTGATTCATTGTGTTGATTTTATTTCTAAACAAAACACTCAATAATTGTCATGACTATCTCTAATATCATATCATTTTGAATGAGAATTTTGTATGAAAAATTCTATTTTTGTGTGTCAATTTGTATGTAGTTAGGTCTCATACGTAATCTAAGTATTCTTGCGACTTTTCATAATTTGGTTGGTTAAAAAATGAAATTTTTGGTGTGTTAGCAAGTCTTTTAGTATATGACTATATGTATGAAACATTCAAACAGTTAAACTCTTGTCTAAGTTGATTTAGTGGATGTCTATCGAAAATTACATTTATCATGTAGTCTAAAATTTGAGCCGATTGTGTCTTTTCTAACAAATTTGCTGAATTGTACTCATCCTTTTTCTTTTTTCTTTTTTCTTTTTAATTTGTCAGCAAAAGCTACCAAAAAAAGCACTTTCAGAGTAATTTCAAAGAGCAAGTTACACCATATCATTTAATGAAGTAATGAAATTAATATTTCAATTAGAAACGTTATATACCTGAAAAGTACTAAGAAAATAATTCAAAATTAAAAAATGAAATGTATAGTTTAAATTTAAATTTAAAGTTGTATGGTTCACACTCATAATAAACTTGATCCACATATTTTATTTTTGATTATTTTAGATGTCGTTTGATAACATTACTACTAGTTTTCTATTTTTTAAAAACAAGAAACAATTTTTTTTTTTTTGTGGTGCAAAAAATAAAAACCAAAAATCATAAATAAAGAAAGTTTTTGAAAACAAATAAAAACATAAAATAAAGAAATTTTTTTGATGAGTAGCCAAAGATAGTGGTTGATAGTAAAAAAGTGGATAGACGTGGTGACTAATGGTAAAAGATGGTCAGATGTGGTGGCTAAAGGTGGGATTAGCCCAAGATGGCCATCGAAGTTGGTGGCTTGAGTTGTTGGAGGTATAGGGTGATTAGATAGAGGTCACCGGCAATGAACGTTGATCACGTGAAAAGTTGTTTTAAAAACAAGTAAATGCACTTTTTTTTTTTCTTTCTTAAAATTTTGTAAATTTTGATAATATATCAATCAAATTTTTGTTTTCAATTTATAAAAAAACATAAAATAGAAAACCATTTGTACCAAATGAGGCTATTTATTTCCCAGGAATTTTTCAAGTCAAAAAATTTATGCACTCACACAAAAAATCTGAAAATGATTCAAAATTTTAAATTTATAGCGTATATTCAAAGTTGTTATTATGGGTTACATCATCAAAAAAATCTTGATTTTTGATTGCATATACTAAACAATTTTTTGGATTCTACTTTGTAGGTTAGTAGAACTCTATGAAGCATAGGTACGGGTACGAGTATTGGTACTGGTACGTTACGGGTACGTCGATACGGTAAAATTTAAAAAAAATAAGGTACGGGCACGGCTTGGTACGCTTGTAAAAAAATATTTATTTTTAATTTAGAGTAATGTAAAAATTAATTAAATGGTTTAATTTGTTAAGGTCCAACCTATAATTGACATTTAATGCCAAAAGGAAAAGTATAAATCAAAATTAAATGTCAATATATTAAATGACTTACAAACCATAGTTTAATTTTAAAATCATGCTAAGCATAAAACAAAAATTAAAAAAGAAATCTAGTGAAATGAGTTTTATCTCTGTAGTAGAAGGAAAATATTGTTTCAACTGAGGTACGGTACGGCTTAGATATATACTAGGTACGTCTGGGTATGTCAAAAATTAAGAAGAAAAAACTTGGGTACATATTTCGTGTACCCGGTACGTATACAAAAGTACCATACGAGATACGGTACGTCGATAAGTACCCGATACGAATACGGCATGATTTTCGAAGTACACATGCTTCATAGGTAGAACTATTCTTTCCAAGCTCCAACAACTTGCTTTAAAAAAAAATAAAAAAATAAAGAACTCATACTTTCAGGTGGTCCAAGGAATATAGAGAAAAAGTTTAATGTAGTGTGATATCACATTAATATTATTAACATATAATATTTAATATCAAAATTTAATAATAAATTATCGTGCGATCACAATAAATTTTACTTGAATATAATAATTATCGAATTGTGTTTGACAGAACAGCAATTAAGTAGTGAAATTCACCTAGGATAGTTATTCAATTTTAGCTAGACTTGAAAGGAAAACAGTACATGAGTGGGATGAGATTTTTTAAACGAAAAAGTTTACTCCTTTAAAAAATTTACATAGAATTTTTTATTAAAATGATGTGACGATATATTTTTATAGTTAATAATTATTTTGATAAATTTATTATTTTAAAATGATTGGCTCATAGTACAATCACATCATTTTATATAATTTTTTTTGTGTATATTTTTTATTATTATTTATAAAATATTACTCAAAATTAGGGGCGACAATGTAAAAGAACTAGGGACATTACTTGAGCATGGTGGTTAATAAGTAAGACCCACCACTAGTATATATAAATCAAGCTTAGGATCTGCAGCCCATCTTAGTTGATTAAACACTTTGTTAATGCCTTAATTACTTCCTCCACCTCCACTCCCTGTCTCTTGTTTCAGCTCTTTCTTCTCTCAATAGCCCATTTAAATCCCAATCCTTCAAAGGCTTAAAACACTCTCACCTATAAGCCCCCCGTCACTTAGCTTAGATATGGACATGGTGGTGGACACTGTCACTGAATTCGAACTAGACTTGTCCAATTATAACAATAGCACCACCACAACCACCACCACCACAACCAACACCTCCACCACCACCACCCCATTACTAGGTGACCATTGGTGGTCTAACTGGAATGATTGGTCCCCAGTCGACGGCTTACTAGTCATTGATTGGGACTCATTTTCTGACAATCATGACAACTTCCATGACCTCATCGAATCCATGATGGACAACAACAACAACAACAGCGAGCAACAACACGACCCTGAAGCTAAGGTTTTGTCCACCACCGCCACTATAGAAGTGGAGGAGGAGGAGGAAATGACTGGTCGTATCGGAGATTTTAAAGGACTGAGGCTGGTCCACCTCTTGATGGCCGCCGCGGAGGCCTTGACCGGGGTCAACAAGAGCCACGAATTGGCTCGGGTGATATTGGTTCGGCTCAAGGACTTGGCTTCTCCAACTGATGGTACTAACATGGAGAGGCTAGCGGCGCATTTTACCCACGCCTTGCAAGGCCTGCTAGAAGGCGGCGCTGGTAAGTACATGGGTTCCCACCATGATCCCCATCAGACGGACGTCCTTGCAGCATTTCAGCTCTTACAGGACATGTCACCCTACGTCAAGTTCGGACACTTCACAGCCAATCAAGCCATTTTAGAAGCCGTGGCGCAAGATAAGCGGGTCCACATAGTGGACTATGATATCATGGAGGGGATCCAATGGGCATCGTTGATGCAAGCTTTGGTGTCTAGGAAGGATGGTCCACCAGCACCACACCTTAGGATCACCGCGATCTCAAGAGGTGGGGCTAGCCGTCGATCAATCGGGACTGTCCAAGAGACCGGTCGACGTTTGATCGCATTCGCTGCATCAATCGGTCAATCATTAACTTTTCATCAATGCAGGTTAGACTCAAATGAGACATTTCGACCGTCCAATTTAAAATTGGTAAGAGGGGAAGCATTAGTGTTCAATTGTATGCTATACTTATCCCACTTTAATTATTGTGCATCAGATTCAATTGCTTCTTTTTTATCCGGAGCCAAGACCCTAAACCCGAGATTAGTGACCTTGGCGGAGGAAGAAGTGGGACCCGTAGGCGATGGAGGGTTTGCGGGTCGATTCATGGACTCTTTGCACCATTATTCGGCGGTTTACGATTCACTTGAGGCCGGGTTTCCCATGCAAAGCCGGGCTCGGGAATTGGTGGAGCGGGTTTTTTTGGGACCCCAAATATCCGGGTCGTTAGCCCGAATCTATCGTGAGAGTGGGGAGGAGGAAAGCTGCTCTTGGGGGGAATGGTTGGGTGCGGTGGGGTTCCATCCGGTTAACGTAAGCTTCGCCAATCACTGTCAAGCCAAGTTGTTGTTGGGACTATTCAATGATGGGTACAAGGTAGAGGAATTAGCTAACAATAGACTCGTTTTACGGTGGAAAACACGTCGTCTTCTTTCAGCTTCTGTTTGGACCACCCCAGATTCTAATTTGTAAATTTGAAAAAAATGATGACAATCACTAGTAGCTTATCCCCTTGTAATATTCTACTCCTTTGATAACACAATCCTAAGGATTTTATTTTTTTTATTTTTTTTATTATTTAACAATAGGAGGAGAATATAAAATGCAACGTAGACTAGTAAAACTCAATATCACTCAAGCAATTAATCTACATCAACTTCAAACCGAATCAATATTTCACATCGGGTTAGAAATCCAAATATCACGACTTTTGTTGATTTAACTGCTCAACGTTTTGATAGAATTCAATACAAAAATGCTTTAGAGTTCTAGCATAATAGCTCTAATGGGAAGGTGAGACCCACGTGATGTTTGTGTCTTGTTTTGTTTTTTTTGTTTTTTTTTTTTTGCTTTGACATATCACTAGAACTTAAATTAGAGTTTTAGATTTAGAGCTCTCTAACATTTCTCAATTCAATATCACCCTGATTAGTTAGTAGTCAAATCAATCTTATCAAAGCACTTTTCTTAAATAATTACGTATGTAGTACACTGATACATTGTCATCACTATATGCAAAAAAAAATGTCAATCTACATCAACCCAAGTTGACTTGTGTGATTTTAGAAGGTGAGCAGGTTGGGCAATAGAAGCAGAGTCATTTTCTGTATCTTATTTATTTTATTACTCCCTCCGTCCCAAAATATTAGTTCCTTATTCTATTTTTCATTGTCCCAAAATATTAGTCCCTCTTCAAAAATCAAGTACAAAAATAATGTAAATTTCCTATTTTACCCTTCTTTTAAATTAATAAACAATATAAAAAGTACAATCATGACATTGATATTCTCAAAAAATGTACTATCAAAAGGGTAATTTTGGAAAATAAACTTTTTCAAATGTAATAATTGTACTATAAAAAAAAGTTAGATTCCCCAAAAGGGACCATTATTTTGAGACGGAGGGAGTATCTTTTTTTGGCGCTGTGGACTAGCCAAATTGATGGGTTACTAGTTTGCGGGTTAAAATTAATAAACTTACCTACAAATTGACCTAAGTTGCCTATAGGTATACACAAACGATACTTACCCCTTATTTTCATTTCATATATATATATATATATTCTAATTTGATTTTTTTTGTATATTAATTTATGAAATTGGTTTTGACTAACGTCATGAATTTGATTAATTTATAAGTTTTGTATTGGAATTTGGAATAAATAAATAGCTTTTTTTTTGTTTGAAATTGTAAAAACAAAAAAAGGTTGAATGGTCCGTGACGTATTTTCTATTTTGTGTTTCTAACTCACTCAATTCACTCCAATCATTGGTTTGAATCTGCCAAAAATATTCAATCAACCCCACAATTTTGAGGATAAAGCACGATGCGTTAAAAAATTCTCAATCCGTTAAGGGCATTGTTTTCAAAATTAACGCAAACTGACCTGTGCATACTCTTAGTAATAATAACATAGTATCACTATCTAATACCAAACTATCATACGAAAATCTAAAAGGCTTTACCGTTAGTTGTATCGTGGTTCATATGGAAGTATAGAAATGAATGCTTGTTCAATAGAATTCAGCCAATGATGGAAGAATTGCAGGAATGAATCATCATCAAATTAGCTACATGGTGGAAAGCCTCTGTCAAGGAGTATCAGTATTCTATTACTGATTTCTTGCTTAATTTTTCGCAGATTAGAAAATGTACCGGTGGTAGATTGTGAGGCACTCTTGTAAGATGTTGGACGTTGGCTGTTTTTGTTTTAAGTTTGGAATCTCTCTAACTTGTTTTGGGGTTTGAGGATGCACATGAACATGATTGGTCTAATTTTGTGTGTCAACATAAATGGGATGCTTAGTTTAGACAATGATGCAATTTTGCTCTAAACCATGTTGTAACCACGCTTTATTTTTTAATAAAGTTTAGTTGCTTTTGTTGCTCAAAAAAAAAATATATATATACAGACATAATAAATACACTATATGTATATATGTGTGTGTGTGACAGTTACAAAATTTTCTCAGAATAGGTAGTTTATATATCAAGATTCCTCATATTTGTTTTTCAATTCAAAAAATAATTTTGATTTTTTATAAAATAAAAAAAAAAGATTCTAAATTTTATGCCAGAGATATCCTTCTCCTAGAGCTTCTTATATAATAAAAAACACACAATTTGATTTGTTAATTAGGTATTTTCCAGAAAGAAACTCCTGAAAGCATACATGAGGTCAGCCATGGTAGCCCACTTTTTTTGGCATGCCAATATAGATTATTATTTTTGTTTATTTAATTTATATATTTTTGGGTTGCCAATATAGATTACATATATAGCTCGGTAAGAACTATGTCTCTTTCGTTGCATCATCAGCAGGCTTATCAAGTTCAAGGTTAAATTACCATAGTATTTAAACAAGTGCTAATTCAAACAATGAATATGTCTGTCTATTTCTGTCATTTGCATTAAAAAAGAAAGAGGGTAAATTGCATTTTTAATTCTTATACTTTCACTCAAATTTTATTTTGATTTCTTATATTTTAATTGCAATAATTAAATCATCAAAATTTAACTAGTATTTTAATGAGGTCTTTCCATCACCCCACAGTTTGATATTTGGTGAACGCTCAAATATAAGAATTAAATTGAAGTTTTTGTGAAAATTGAAAAGTGAAAAGTGTAATTTACATGCAAATTTCTTCCTCTATCAACGCTCGTAGAATGTGTTTATGTGAGATCATTTCATTCAAATTTTCAGCAGATGTGACAAAAAAAAATCAAATTCAAAATTGAAATGAATTTTGAGAATTTAATTGTTGTAATTAAAATATAAGAGATGAAAATGAAATTTGAGTGAAAAATGTATTTACCAAAAGAGTTTCACTCAAATACAAATTCCACTTGAATTTAGGTAATTACAATTTTCACCTTAGTAATTTTACCTATAAGCGGTTGGGTTGTATTGACCTATATGCGGATTGATAATTTTAGCTCATAGATTGATTGACTATTAGTTTTTATCATCAAAGTTGCTCAACCCAACTTGCTCACCTTATCAAATTGCAAGAATCAGGTTGAGTCGATTTAGGAAAATGTGAGTTGATATATTTTTTTGCATAAGGACAATTTTTTCTTTTTTTGTCAAATGCATTCAAATCTATCTCTAGAATAATAGTCTTTTTAAGGGTTGGGCTTGAGAAATCTGTTTGGATTTATGAAATCCACTATCAATCATTGTTTAATGATTCGAATCGTTAATATAATATGACTTTTTATGTATATTATTTATAAAAAAATTAAGTTAAGTAGATTATTATACTTTTTTCTTTATATTGCCTTTTTTTTGTAAACAATAGACGATAAATATATTTTTGACGAAGTTGAATCCATCTGTTAACACATTGTCAACATTGGCAGGAGGAGTGAATGGGAAGGGTTGAAGAGAATACAAAGTAGATGAGAGGTTTGAATGACAAACTACAAAGTCCAAGCCCAAAATTGTGAACACCCATCAGTCTTTATTCAAACCACAAAAAGCCAAGCCTAAAATTTTTCACATGGATCAAAATTTGCAAGTTCACTATAGTCTCAGCTAAGGTAGTAAAGCAAGAGCCCAAGTAGCCACCTATGTCTCTCATAGCCAATAAGACTTTGGTTAATTAATAGGCAGCAGCCTCTTCATAAAAACTATTTGTTGAATATGAATTGGTCAAACTTGGACCCCCCAAAAAGAAAAGAAAAAAAAGGTCAAAAGTTTAAAATATTAGTCAAGTATTTTAAGGCTAAACAACACCAAAGGGGTAGAGGGGGGCAAGAAAAATAAGTAATTTTTTTTTTATCAGTGTTACTTAATAAAAATAAATAAATAATTTAAATTAATAAAATTAAAAATTTATTTATTACAAAAGATTTTTTTTTTTTTTAATCCCTTTTGGTGGTGTCGTGGGGTGGGAGGATGGACGCCATGCCAATGAGTCATGCGAAACACGAGTTGGGTTGGGAACCACATCAACAACCAGGTCTCACTTCACTCACACTCTCTCTCCCCGACAGTCTCCTACTCAGATCATATTCCTCTACTTTTCTGTTCCTTATCTTCAAAACCCTAATATAGGATTCTTACATATATGACCCTCCTCCTAATGCACATGTCACTTGCAATTCAATGTACCTGGACACCCCTTCAAATGCCTAGACTTAGGCCGCCGAGCTTTGGTCCTTTTCTACTTCATTCCCCCCACACAAATTTCTTCCCAAGTTTTGGTGACATTAGGAGCCGAATCACCACTTACCCGTGTTTCATGGCGGCTATTTCGACTGTTTCTACCCAGAAAGAGCCCGTTTTGAACGAGGACGAGCCGACCCAGAAGACCCTTCAGCCCTCGCAGGTATGAGGAAATTGTTGTTTCTTGCATGATTGCTTGATTCATGGCATTTTATTGATGGTTTTGCTTCGAATCTGAAATGGGTTTTAGCTGCTTTTGTGATTTGATTTGATTGCTGTGGGTTTTTAGTCCTTGTAATTTAGATCTGGTCTCTTGGGTTTGACCCAGAAGACTCATGAGCTCTTTACAGGTACGAAAAAATGGTTGTTTCTTATAAATTTGCTTGATTCATGGCGTTTTATTGATGGGTTTGCCGCAAATTCGAAATGGACCATATGATTTTGTAATTTAGATGTGGTCTCTTGGTTGTTTCTCTCCCTCTCTAAGCTCAAGTATTCAAAGCACAAGGGGGAAAACATTTTTCCTTGAAATTATCCTTGATTTGTTTTTTTGTTTGTTTAGATCGCTTTGCTTTTCTGTTGCTTATGGGCGTATTCAAAGTTATTGTGATTGCTGTGGTAGATAGATCTTTGACATATCCTTTTTGTGCATTGGAAACTTCACTTTACCTCCATATGATCTGCTCTGTGTGCGGTTTGTCCCCTATTATTTAGGGGTATGAGCTCATATCCAAATTTCATGGGTAAACTGCATACGGAGAAAAATACAAGGGGGTAAAGTGTATTTTGAGTGACAAAAAAATGATGAAAATATCATATGATTTACACAATGAGGTTACTTATGTGCAAAAATATTTTAGCCATTTATCAAAAGCACAAAACATGATTGGGTTTACCAAAGATGTTCTCTTTTTCTTTTCTTTTCTTTTTTTAATTTTATTTTCATTTGTTTTCAAAACATTTGTGTACCAACCAATTATGTTACTTGTTATTGTAAAAAATTAAAAAACAAACAATGTTGTCAGAGGTAATTTAAGCTTTTAGGAAATGGGCAAAATATATTAAGCTCTAATTCCGTATCTCATGTGCAACATCTACTTGTATGTAGAATGAGTCATATAGACAAACAAACAAACAAAATCGAGTGCGATTGCACAAAGGATGCGAGGTCCACACGAACGAAGGGGATCAAATTTACATGGAGAAACTTGAACTCGAGACCTCTTAGAACCAAGAGCTCTGATACCATGTTGAATTATTAATATAATTTAACATGATATCAGAGCCTTTGGTTTCAAGAGTTGCTGAGTTTAAGCCTCATAATATGTTTGTTCCTTTGTTATATTTGTGCACTCTACCCTATACATGTTTGTGCACCCTATTCATCACGTAAGAGACACTTGCATGGGATGAAGGTGTGTTAGTGGCTTAGTTGTATCCATTTTCCAACCATTTAATTTTTTGGGGTAATTGGTTGTTATAATTTAACAATGTGGATAGAAACTCATTTGAGTTGAGATCCTCTCCTTGGTTTCTCTCCTTGCCTCCCTACTTGCAATGGTGAAGATGCACCATAAGATGATCCAACAGTCCAGATCTGACTATTTCAATTAGTTTAATTTTTTTTGTTTTTTTGGGAAATAACCAGATCTGGACCGTGAGATCATCTTGGGGTGCATCTCCACTATTACAAGTAGAGAAGTAAGGAGAGAGACCAAGGAGAGGATTTGAACTTAACTCATTTACTGCGTGGTACCTACTAAAAACATGGTATCATGGGGCTAGGTATATAGATGAGATTGTTAAAATTGTCGAGGTATTTTTTATGGTACGTTTGATTTCTTGTAAAAAGAAATGAATTGGCAAACATAGTTCTAGGTTTGTATAAGAACAACTTGTACAAATATTTATATTTTCATTGTAAATTTGTAATTTCATATTAAAAGTAATGATGAAGACAACAAAACGGTTTAGAACTTGAAAAATGGAAAGTGGTCCAAATCACCTAATCTACTTCCAAATGTATTTACTTGAACATCTATTGAAATAATCTTCTTGAATTTCTCCAACTAAATGTAATTAATCTAAAAGATTTGGGAATACTCTATAACTCTTATAATACCTTTGGTTATTTAAAATAAATTATATTAAAAAAAACATTGATAGTGGATGCGGGCATATACGAGAACTTGTTAAGACATGCTAACCTTTGCTGCTCAAACAAAATAAGGCCTTTACACTTCAAAGACAAAAAAGGCCTATAAATTCTTATTGCTGATGAGGACTATAAAAATTCTCTTCATTTGAAAACAAACAATGTTATCAAAAGCAATCTAAGCTTGTAAGAAATAGGCTATATATATATATTAATTCCAACTCCATATCTCACGTGCAACTGTTACTTGTATGTGGAATGACAGAAAGACAAACAAACAAGTCTTCAAAGACAAAAAAGGCCTATAAATTCTTATTGCTAAAGAGGACTATAAAAATTCTCTTCATTTGAAAACAAACAATGTTATCAAAAGCAATCTAAGCTTGTAAGAAATAGGCTATATATATATATTAATTCCAACTCCATATCTCACGTGCAACTGTTACTTGTATGTGGAATGACAGAAAGACAAACAAACAAGTAGAATAGTGTGCAAAAGAATCAAAGTCCAAATAGACAAATGGAAGGAAGAACAAATTCTTTGAAGAGACTTGAACTCAAGGCCTCTTAGAACCAAAGGCTCTGATATCGTGTTGAGATTAGTAACATAATTTAACATAGTTTCGTCAGAGCTTTGGTTTCAAGAGTTACTGGATTCTAGTCTCATGATATGTTTGTTCCTTTATTATATTTGTGCACTCCACTCTATATGTGTATGTGCATCCTATTCATCACGTATGAGATAGACATGCATGGGAGGAAGTTGTGTTAGTATTTTTTTTTTTTGAACAAAGTCGTGTTAGTAGTTTAGTCATCCATTTTCTAACCACTTAATTTTTTGGGGCAATTGGTAGTTAAAATTTAACAATGAGGATAGAAACTCGTATACCACGTGGTACGTACTAAAAGACATGGTATCATGGGACTAGGCATATGTCGAGGTACTCCTGAAGATAAATTTGATTTCCTATAAAAAAGAAATGAATTGGTAGATGTTCTACAAGCGTAAAGGTGGAGATAATGATGTCATGATTAGGGTTTTGTATGAGAACTACTTGTAAATATGTATATTTTCATTGTAAATTTGTAATTTCATATTAAAAGTAATGATGAAGAAAGCAAAGGAGTTGAAACTTGGAATATGGAAAATGGTCCAAATCACCTAATTTACTTTCAAATGTATTTTCTTGAATATCTATTGAACATCACTTCCTGAATTTATCCAACTAAATATAATTACTCTAAAAGATTTGGGAATACTTTGTGACTCCTAAATATCTTTGGGTATTTAAAACAAATTACATTAAAATGGCATCAAAAGGGAATGCGGGCTTATGCAAGAACTTGTTAAGCCGTGCTAACCTTTGATGCTAAAAAAATATAAGGCTTTTACACAAAAGTTTTATAAATTCTTACTAATGAAGAGAACTGTATAAAATTCTCGTCATTTGTAAACAAATAATGTTATCAAAAACAACATGAGCTTTTAGGAATTGGGCACAATATATTAAGCTCTAACTTCATTTTTCATATGCAACTCCCACTTGTATGTGGAATGACAGAAAGATAGACAAACTGTGAGAATATGTGTTCTTCTCGGATTAGGATTAAGTGTCCTACGTCTATTTCTGTTTCTCCTTTCTCTCTTGTGCATACTGATGTCTGGGGACCCTCTCCTGTTCTTACTAAAGGGGGTTCAGTATATTATGTGTCTTTTGTAGAAAACAAATTCAACATAGTATCAGAATCATTGGTTTGAAGGGTTAATGGGTTTAAGTCTCATGATATGTTTGTTCCGTTGTTATATTTGTGCACTTTGCTCTATACATGTTTGTGCACCCTGTTCACCACAGATGAGAGACGTGAGAAGAAGGTTTGTTAGTAGCTTAGTTATATCCATTTTCTAACTACTTAAAATTCTGAGGCAATTGGTTGGTTGTTAAAATTTAACAATGTGGATTGAAATTGATTTACCACTTGGTGTGTACTAAAAAACATGGTATTATGGGGCTAGGTATATGGATGAGATTGTTAAAACTGTCGAGATACTTTTGAAGGTAAGTTTGATTTCTTGTAAAAAGAAATGAATTGTCAAACATAGTTATGGAGGCATAAAGTTGGAGACAACAATGTCATGATTGGGGTTTTGTATAAGAACAACTTGTACAAATATTTATATTTTCATTGTAAATTGTACTTTCATATTAAAAGTAATGATGAAGAAAACAAAGGGGTTGGAACTTGGAATGTGGAAAGTGGTCCAAATCAATCAATCTACTTTCAAATGTATTTTCTTGAACCTCTGTTGAATATCACTTCTTTAATTTCTCTAACTAATTGTTCTAAAAGATTTCGGAACACTCTGTAACTCCTAAAATGTGTTTGGGTATTTAAAATAAATTATATTAAAAAACCATCAAAAGGAGATGGCCTATACAAGAACTTGTTAAGCATGCTAACATTTGCTGCTCAAAACAAAATAAGGCCTCTACACTCTAAAGAGAAAAAAAGCCTACAAATTCTTACTGAGAAGAAAACTGTAGAAAATTCTTTTCATTTGAAAACAAACAATGTTATCGAAAGTAATCTAAGCTTTTAGGAAATGGGCAATGTGTATTGAGCTCTAACTCTGTATCTCACGTGCAACCACCACTTTTATGTGGAATGATAGAAGGACAAACAAACAAACAGTATAATGTTCGATTGCACAAAGGAAACAAAGTCCACATAGACAAATGGAAGGGGGAACAAATTCACATGTAAAGACTTGAACTCAAGATCTCTCAAAATCAATGCTCTGATACCATGTTAAAGTAGCATAATTTAACATGGTATCAGAACATTGGTTGCAAGAGTAACTGGGTTTTATGTTGCATAGTATGTTTGTTCGTTTGTTATATTTGTGTGCTTTGCTCTATACATGTTTGTGCATCTTGTTCACCACATATAAGATGGACTTACACAGGAGGAAGGGGTGTTAGTAGCTTAGTTTTATCCATTTTCTATCCGCTCAAACTTTCGGGGCAATTGGTTCTCAAATATTTAACAATATGGACAAAAACTGATATACTATGTGGCATGTACTAATAAACATGGAACCATGGGGCTAGGCATATGAATGAGATCATTAAAATTGTCAAGGTATTTCTGAATGCAAGATTGATTTCTTGTAGAAAAGAAATGTATTGTCCGACATAGTTATACAAGCGTGAAGTGGGAGATAAATGTTACTTTAGATGCGAACATGTTAAGATGGTGGGCTTACCAGGTGGCATACATGCATGAAGGCTGAGCACGTGAACTTCAGCTGGGATGTGAACACCAACTACAGATGTGAATGATATCATGATTGGGGTTTTCTTCGTCATTTATTTTCAATACGAAATTAGAACATTACCATGAAAATAGAAATCACTAGGGTTGGAACTTGGAATATGGAAAAATGGTCCAAATCACCTAATTTGCTTGAACATCTATGGAACGTCACTTCTTGAATTTCTCCAATTGAATATAATTACTCTAAAAGATTTGGGAATAATATGAAACTACTAAAATACCTTTATGTATTTTTTGATAATTAAAACAAATTATATTAAAAAATATCAAATGGGGATCCAGCGTATAAAAGAGCATGTTAAGCTATGCTAACCTTTATTGCTCATACAAAAGAAGGCCTATATACTCAAAAGACAAAGAAGGCCTATAAATTCTTACATATGAAGGGAATTGACAAAATCTATACTTCGATGAAGGTTCAGATAAACCTTCCTAACAGGGTTTATCATGTCAAATGCACTAAGATTCATTTTTCATTCCTTCTTAATGAACTAAATGTAAATTGATTGGTGTGTAGTTAAATGAACCTAAAGTTTTGGGGGGTTATTGAAATGTCATGTGGGTGAAAGAATAGAAAGTAGATCTTCGTATGTTGTCCATTTCTTGAAAAAAGACGTTGATTTATATATTTATACGATAGTTATGATGGACTTTAAAGTTGGAAATTCCAGTAACTGACTAAAAAGGTAAGAGATTAGGGGTTATAATATGCCCTGCTTGGTGGACGAAACCTTCTCTTCTTGCAGGGTTACTGAACAGTCGGTTGGAGGTGAGTTGTGATGTGCAATGGCTCAATACAGATAGGTGATCGTTCGAGTGGAGATTCCATTGGCTGAGTCAAGGGGTGTTTCGATTGAGTTTTGGGTAGGCACGTATCTATCTTGATTGTTTAAGCTTGATTCTCAGAAGAGCACGTGGAGGCTCATTGTTGACCCACATGTTGCCTCACATGACAATCACATGGCGCCAACTTGATTTGTAGTGGAGGTGACGTGGAGATGTCATGTCAATGCCAGCCACATAATGGAGTTGAATTTTCTATCTCCAAGGAAAAAAACTCTGATCTCCAATCAGAACTCATGAGGATCATTTAGAGCCGACGATAAAACTAAAGAAAATTTGCATGTCTCTATTTCAGAGAACTCTTTTTCGGTGCTATGCTTCCTTGGCATTTTGTGCATTTCACTAGTGGCTTGTGCTCTTCTATTTTGGGAGATCTCTTCCTTTTATTTTATGCTCCACATTATTGGTTTGTTATCATCCAAGTACGAGCTAAACTATTTAAAAAGTCTAGTACTCTAGGGTTTTAATTCTTGCTATTGGACCTAACTTAAAAAAAGTATCTTTCTATCATCATAGTAAGACTATTTTTCTACTCCAATGTTCTTTACACAATGGAATGCAACACTTAAATATGCTTGACATGCTAGTAGAACCAAATTAGATACCTGAATATCAGGAATGCATTAACTCAGTTTGTGATATTGAAATGATATTATGGTGTTTTCCCATTTTCAAGCTGGGTGCAGGGGAAGTTATAGTAAACTTGCATCTTTTATCATGTTGCGTATTGAATCTGGTTGAATTTACTTAACAGTATGTTGAACTGCTATCAGAAAGCATGTGCTTACTTTGTAATTGATCAGATTGAAATGAGACCTAATATGACGTTATCATGGTTTCTAGAAACCTTTTGCCTTTTACCCTTTTGTTTTCTCTTTCTTTGTTTTGTGTTCAGTTTTTCATGCTCTTGCAATTATTTGTTGCAGTAAGCGAAGTGGTACCTGACACTTCACTTGGCTTGGTACTTTGGGTCTTGAGGTCTTGCACATTCCTCTGGTGTAAGTTAGGTCAGTTATAGGCTTGAGAAGTGTATCATGTGTTGGGGTTGAGTTGATTGTTATGTCTAACCTTGAGCTTGAGTCAGTGAAAATTGAACCAAACTAAACTGTGACCAATGTAACACCAATCTCTAACTTAATGGCTAAGCTTCTAAAACTTATGTGCACTGTAACTGGTTGCACATAATCACTTGCCTTGTCTTGTTGAGTGCTTCTATTTAGATTTGCTTCCTTGACTTAACTTTTTTTCCCTCTTGTTTTGGCTCATAATCATGAAGTATGTTGTATCCTTATTTTTCTCCTCGAGATCCCACAAGCTAAATAACATAGACATAAATGTGGGGTACAAATATGATACGATCTGAACAGATGGACGTAGAAAATCCTAAAAATATGTAGGACATGGAACTGGCGATAACATGGCAATACACGTGTTTCTTCTAGATACATCAATTATATAATATTGATTAATACATTAAACTTCTATGTGAGTAATTTCTAGTAAAGCTAAAGCTTGACAGGTTCATTTTGATGATTATATTATGTATATCGCTATTACTTCTACTATATGACCTTTTGAGTTCCTGTCTATGTTGAAGAGTTCCCCTTGACTTTAGTTTTGAACATGATATGGAGACAGACCCTGCATTTTTGTACAATTGCTTGTGCTTCTTAGTCCATGAGTTACCAATATTTTTGATTTCTGAACTTCGTCCGATTTTGAGATCATAATTGCCATTGTCGAATACCTTGTCGAAGATATTCTCAGCCAAGTTTTGTAGTCTTTTTCTTAATCTTTTGAAGATGATAGAATGACTGAATGGCATCTAACCATTTTTATTGTCTATTTATTGATCCTTAAGTATTTGACATTTTTTATTTCCTTTTTCCAGGTTGCACAGCGTTTGGAGAAGTTCAAAACTACGATCTTCACACAAATGAGTATGCTTGCCATCAAACACGGAGCAATAAACCTTGGACAGGGCTTCCCCAACTTTGACGGTCCTGAATTTGTGAAAGAAGCAGCCATTGAAGCCATTAAAGCCGGGAAAAACCAATATGCCCGCGGATATGGAGTTCCTGACCTCAACTCTGCTATCTCTGAAAGGTTCAAAAAAGATACCGGACTTGTGGTGGACCCAGAAAAGGAAGTTACCGTCACCTCAGGATGCACCGAAGCAATTGCTGCGACCATGTTGGGTTTAATAAATCCCGGTGATGAAGTGATTGTATTCGCTCCATTCTACGATTCTTATGAAGCCACCCTGTCAATGGCCGGTGCCAAAATCAAATGCATCACATTACGACCCCCAAATTTTTCGGTGCCTCTTGATGAGCTCAAGTCGACAATCTCAAAGAATACTCGAGCTGTTCTCATAAACACCCCACACAATCCCACGGGGAAAATGTTCACTAGGGAAGAACTCAACACGATTGCATCTCTATGCATTGAGAATGACGTGTTGGTTTTCACCGATGAAGTTTATGACAAGTTGGCTTTTGAAATGGACCACATTTCTATGGCTTCTCTTCCTGGAATGTACGAGCGGACCGTTACTTTGAATTCATTGGGAAAGACATTCTCTTTAACAGGTTGGAAGATTGGGTGGGCCATAGCTCCCCCGCACCTGACTTGGGGTGTGCGTCAAGCACACTCGTTCCTCACTTTTGCCACGTGCACTCCAATGCAGCATGCGGCTGCAGCGGCTCTTAGAGCCCCCGAGTCTTACTACGAGGAGCTAAAGAGGGATTACTCAGCAAAGAAGGCGATTTTGGTCGAAGGGCTAAAGGCTGTTGGTTTCAAGGTATACCCCTCAAGTGGAACCTATTTTGTAGTGGTCGATCACACCCCATTTGGGCAAGAAAATGATGTTGCATTTTGTGAGTATCTGATCAAGGAAGTCGGGGTGGTAGCGATTCCGACGAGCGTGTTTTACTTGAACCCGGAAGATGGAAAGAATCTTGTGAGGTTTACTTTCTGCAAAGATGAGGGCACGCTAAGGAGTGCAGTTGAAAGGATGAAAGAGAAGCTATTGAGGAAGTGAAGATCCGAAATGGATATTGTTTGAACCCGGATCTATTGTGCACCAAATAGATTTATGTTGTTTAGCGATAAGCATTCGGTACTAGAGGTAAATTCTTTTTTTCTTTCTCCAAGGCCAGTTTATGTGAATTAATATACATTTTGAATAAATTGAAATGAAGTAGCAAATTTACTAATTGAAATCATTTTTATTTACTAGATAGTTGGAAAACATCAGCACGGGGAGTGAATTGGCAGATTACTATAGGCATTGTTTCCTTCACTTTGGTAGTGTTTGTTTTGAAGGATTAGACTATTATCGTTTGGTTCAAAATTTTTACACTAGACTAATAGTCACAAATCCATTAGACTATTGCGTTCCATTGGGGGTGGGGGTGGGACACAAATGGAGGGATAGGGGGATATGGGATTAGGTGGTAAAATGATCATTTTGACCCTCTACTATTTAATTATGTATTATATTTAGTAAAATTTAATAAAATTTAAATGTTTCAATTTAAAAATAAAATAATTTTATTTAATTTTTATTTTATGTTTTATTTATTTAATTTTTTAAAATAATTTTTAATAGATATTTTATTGATGTTTTATTTTAAAATTTTGTTTATATTTTATTTAAAATTTAATAGATGTTTTATTTAATTTTATTTTTTTTAAAATAAATTTATTTAAAATAAATTTATTTAATTGTTTAAAAAATAAAATAAAATAAATTTTTATTTAATATAGTTAAAAATAATTAAAATATTAAAGATATGTTTAATATTGTTATTACTTAATAAATAATTGAAAAAGGTAAAATAGTCATTTAAACATTTATCATTTTTCATAATATTCTAAATAAATATAGGATTCATATCTTATCCAACCAAATAGTCTTTTTTTGACCTTTAATTCCATGACTAAACAAATATAGGATACAAATTCAGTCTAACTAAATAGTTCGGGGACAATGTATTCTAAGACTAACAGTCTGGTGGATTCCAATCTCTTTTATTCAATCCGTTTAAACAAACACACCCAAATGCGTATAGCCACAAGTCGTGTTTACTATCATAGGCTTTATGCATAAATAGATCAATATATATTATTGTGTTTCCATATGAAAATTTGTATTGTTATGCATCTCAAATTTTATTAATATATTTAAAATATATAAACTTAATAGTGTGAAATTTAAAACTGTACTCAGAATTATACCAATATCGATACATGTCATCCTAAATGATACACCATCTTGAAGGTTAGTCAAAGTAATTGATTTCAAGGTCGCTCACATGAATAGCCTCACTACACTAAAGGACTACATTGTAGCCTTGTAGGTGTTGTTTAGGCCACCATTGAAGAGGCAGTGAATTATTGCAATGTGCTCTATTGACGAACTAAAAGCCTCGTTCTCATGCTAGGTGATAGCGACTTGCACACCGTCAATGATCGTGTATTTGAAATTTTGATCTGGTTCATTGTTGTGGTCTCGTACCAACAAATGTGCTTTGACCAACTCGAAAATGCTCCAATACTAGACTCCAATGTAAAATGTTCACTCAACGCAACTCAGTTCGCTAGCAATGCCATCAATGTTGTTGCTAGTATTAGTCCCATCCTTCAAGCCTTCAACATCCAAATCGACAATACCATGGAGGCCAAATTGGAGAAAAATTGGAAAATTGGAGAAAAGAAAAGATTAGAGAGAAAGAGAGAGATCCATTGAAGGGTAGGTTTAATTGTAAATGGGAATTGTTTTTGGCTAGAAGCACTAATTGTTCATATTGCTCTAACTATTTAACATTTTTCCAAAAAACTGAATTTTGATGTGGCAATAAGACAAGACCTGTTTGGTCCAGTGACATCCAAGACCCCCTAGAGTAGGATTATTAGGTAACTTTGTTACTGCATTTGACTCCTTTTTACTAAGATTTGAGAGTAATAAATAAGATAATCTTGCCCCCCTTTTTTTTGTTTTTGTTTTTGTTTTTCGATGCGTATGAAAAGGTGGAATCGTGTCAAATTGTTTTTTTACAAGAGCCGTGATTCCGACCCCCAGTATGGAGGCACCCCCACCTCCACGTGGGGGGGTGGCAATAAAAAAAAAAAAAAACAACAACAGTTTTTGACCAATGGGAGGAGACCCCAGCACCTCCACTAGGGGTCTAACTCATTTTCGTTCTTACAATTTGTAGAGAGGAGAAAAGAAGGCGAGAGTCCTCAAATCACTTGATTAGTCATTGAGAAAAACATTGTTCTATATTTTAATGTCAATTATATTATAAACGGTGAGATAATTCATTTTAATAGATTGATTATCTTATAAATTTTATCATTTATAACTCAATATAGATGACAAAAAAAAAAAAAAAAACTTTTTTACTGATTTTGTTCCCTAAGTATTTTTTTGATGGGTCTTTATTTATCCTTGCCCTTGACTTTTAGGAGTTGTTTGGGATGATCTAAATAAGTGTATTTTTTGATTTTTTTATGAAATATGGATTGGGTTTGGGTTGTGTTTGAAGTGATGTGTTAGAGAGGTGATGCGATTTAAATAAGATGATGAGACTTAAATAGGATAGTGACTTTTTGACTTTTTGTCTTTTTCAAGACATGCCAAACTTGGCCTTATTATTATTTTTTTGTTTTATTTTGTTTTGTGGGTGGGTGTTGAGTAGCATATTAGATCCAAGAGTTTCACTAAAAGGGATGGTCTAGTGATTAATTTAAGAGTTTTATTGAAGGGTTCAAGTTTAAAATCTCATAGGTAAAATTAATTTCTTGAAAAATCAGTTTATATAAGGCTTTGGTCCTGATTTTAAATGGGTTTTCCATTAATGAACTGCAGGATTAGTTTCTGAATGATCGCTCCATTAAGTTAGATATTGAATTATCAAAAAAGAATTCATTAAAATAGTTATAAAGAAACCCAATAAATATACCTTCTACAAAGAGAGGTTGAGAATTGATTCATGAAAATCACCCCCACCTCCCCACAATAGGACCTCTCTCTACCCACCCACCACCCACTCTCATAGTTGATAGTTGCATCCACCGTCCAGTGATTATTTGTATTATTGTTACACCAAAGATGCTTGAGGCCTACACACGTGACACTCGATTCACATCTCTAGAGGCAAACACACATAAATGATTCATTGTACTAGCAGTATTCACACACCTACAAAATTATTTGTACCTAAAAGTTACGAATCGACCGAGCTGTTTATGTATAGTGATTCAGTTCAATTCAAATTTTGCTTGATTAGGGTTTATTTGAACTTACTTTATTTGATAAATAAATAAATTCATAACTCAATTCTTAAGCTCATTTAATAATTAGTCGAGTTTAGATAGGTTTGTGAACACAAAATATGTTAATTTGGTTTAAAAGTAATCAGTTGACGAGAAGAGTTGTGAACATATATAGTGCTCTAAGGTTGTAAATGAACAACTTGAACTGAGCCTGTTTAAAACTCGTTAGAGCTCATTTTATTTGCTAAACATGCTTGAGCTCAAATTTTTTTTTAGTATTCAAGCTGCATTTGAGTGCTACCAAACTTGATTCTAAGTGAACACAAACAATATAAATTAATATTTATTTTTAATAACATATCAAGTATATTTTTATTAACTTATTTCATTTCTCTATATATTTGGTATTTTTTTTTGTAAATTTATATATTTGATTGATGACAATTATTAATATTTTTTTAATCTCTTACTTTTTTAATATATATATTAATTTCAGTTTAATTATTTTCATCAAATTTAAACTCGATTTTTTAACTTAACTTGATTCAACTCGTTTGTAACTCATCACATCAACAGGGACGGAATTACGAAAAGATTATGGGGGAATCATGACCTCCATTTTTCTTTGAAAAATGCTATTTGCCATAACATTTAAAATATATATATATATTAATCTTAATATAAAATAGCCCCCAACATAAAAATATATATCATTTTTTTCTCATTTTACATTCTCCTTTCTATTAAACTTCTTCATCATGTTTGAAATTTCTTCTGTAATATTTAATTTTTATCATATTATATATATATATATATATATATGTATTTATATATATAATGAAATAATTTTATTCATCTATTGCCCCTTAAATGAAATCCTCATTCTGTTCTTACACATAAGCCACATTCCCTTAACATTTCCCATGACCTAAAAGTTGTACAATGATGAATGAAAGATATGAAGCTTCATACCTGTTGGCCTATTAAGAGAAGAATAATGATAGAAAGCTTGAATTTTGAAATTATAAAGAGAGTTTTAGTGATGTGGTAAGAGAAAAATATATATGTATATAGACATATATATCACATCACATGTGAATTTCACTCCCTAACGCATTAGTAGAATTCCTTTTAAAATTCTAAAATCACAACTATTAATCTTTATTATTAAGAGAATTAAGCTTACAAAAAACAAGGGTAAAAAACAATTGGGTGAGTTTTCACCATCACATCACATCCTTCTTGTCCTGTTGTAACATTTTACAAAGAGAATCTTCACGTTTCAATTCTTTCGTTGATAAGAATCAAATGAGGTAACTAATCAGTTAACCAATTATGGAAAAAATGCTCAATATAATATCTATTCTTAAATTACAATCAGCTTGTTTGGTTCTAGTTTTTAGAAAATTTTATATTTATATTTTTCATATTTTAATATTTTTAATAAATTTTTTAAATATTTTAAGTAATTCTTTTTTTAATTTTTAAACATACCTAACATAAATGCACTTAAAAAATATAATATTTGTGAATTTTTTTTTGAAAACTTATTTATAAGTCCTTTTTCAGACACTTATGGTAGGTTAAGTGCTATGTAATTTCTTATAGAGTTTCAAGTCCTATTTAGATAGGAATACATTCCATAAGATTCTACATAAACGTGAGGTGACGTGACACCTATATAAACGTAATGTAACGTGACACCTACATAAACGTAACGTAACGTGTCACGTTATGTTTCGCAAACTTAATGAGTTTTTATTTTTTAAAATTGAATGTGAAAATGTTGCTGGTTTATTGAGAGGGTAATTTTGGTGAAAATTGGGCCGAGCTATAAGATGGTCATAGTGGCCCACAATACAAAGGGTTGAGTAAAAAAGGCCGTAGAAGTTACTCCGGCCCAAGATACGTGTAAAGTTACTTCGGTCCGGAAGCAACTTGAAGT